CAGACCCATATGATAACTTCACTCTTACCTGTAGAGCCACTAAACCAACCATAATAATACCAAACCTGGTAATAGCATGGACACATAATGGTACACTAGAAACTGGTACTGTGACTACTACTGGAGGGAGTATGACTACCACTGTTACTAATACATTGAGTTTTGACTCCAGTACTGCTTCTGATTCTGGTACTTATAGATGTACTGCTAGTATTACTATACCTGATTCAAGCACAATCACAATTAGTGAGGAAAGTACTGTGACTATAAGACGTAAGTGGCTATAATAATTATACATGTACTATAAATACAATGCACAGTAATTATAATGAGCTTTTAATGTGATGTGATCTGCACATGCCATATGTTTCTCCTTACAATTCTACCTCCTTCCTTTTTTTTCTCTCCTTTTTACCCTATTTTTTCTTTAGCTCAAAGCCTGCCTGTTCCTGCTACTAATGTCAAGGTAACTCCAGGAACAACTACTGCTGCTATATCATTCATAATACCTAATATTGCCTATACACGTGAAACCTACAGTGTTAAGTATACTGGAGCAATCTTACAAACAACACAAGCAACTTCTATCATAAGAATGAGCTCCAGTAACATTAGTGCAATTAATGAAGAATTTATGATCATGTTGACTGCCCTTGAGGAAGATAACACTTATACATATACAGTTGATTCCACCAATTGTCTTGGTACTACTAGTACTGCAGAGATGAGCTTCAGAACACTTCCAACATGTAAGCAAAATACTTAATTATTTCATTAATTTTCTCTCAATTACAGTGCCAGTAGCTTCTCCAATAGATTGTGCTAATATAACATTTCTACCACGTAATGTCACACTTACCTGGACTGCACCAGCACTAATAGATCAAAATGGAGTACCAGTTGGTTATTATTTAGCATGTATGAATACTAATGGTGTATCAGTCAATGGATTAAGCCCAACACAATCTTCAGTGAACACAATGTTCACTATTACTGATGCTATGCCTTTTACTGGTTACACTTGTGATCTATCATTTATTAATGTAGTAGGAGAAGGACCCCCTACCCAGTGTACTTTTGAAACAGCACAAGATAGTAAGTATATACACTCGATTGTCAGTAATGTCTGCAAACATTAGTAAAGCTAGGCTACATTCGACAAAACACAAAAAAACTTTGAATTTGATGCAAAATTGGCAAGATTTTAATCTTGCATTTATTTGTGTTGCATTTTATTGCAAGTGTAAACCAGGCATTATTTCCAATTACTTTCTCTGTTAAACTTCTATTAGAACCAAGTGATAGTCCTCAAAATTTCACTTCAACAACTAATAAAGCAGTAGTTACTCTTACATGGACTAAGCCAGCTATTCCTAATGGAATAATTATCAAATACTCATTGAACGTCATCAACCAGAATACTCTGAGAACGTATAACTATACAATACTTGTAGCTGTCAATCAACCTACAATGACACACTCAGTTGATGGTTTTAGTCCATATCAGAATTACACTGCTAGTGTTAGTGCTAGTACAATCATTGGAGCTGGACCAGTGGCTACTACTGCAGGAAGAACACTACCAGACAGTAAGTTTATTAGTATGATACATTTACTAAGATTACAATTACACAGTTCCTAGCTCACCTCATCTGGTTGTGTCTCCAGTTGTCATTAATAATTTAACAGTAGCTTATACTGTACCAGTCCTTAATGAAACTACTATTAATATAACATGGAGTCCACCATCTCATCCTAATGGAAAAATCATCAGATTTATTGTTAGAATAGCTACTGATGCTATTACTAGTCCTAATAATGTTCCATTTGAACCTGGCAAAACACTACACACACTGATATATAAAGGATTAAGTAAGTAAATACATACATTTTATATTCATTGCATCATTATTCATTTTTACAGAGGGAAAGACTCCTTATTATATTTCAGTTGTAGCAGTCAATCAAGTTGGTGAGGGGAACTTAGCAGCAACATTAACTGCTATTGTCTTCACTAAAACTGACAGTAAAATATTACACTTAATGTTAGATCTACTTTATCTGCAGATAGTGTTACTGTATCACCATCAAATGTTCAAGCAATGAGAGTAGGAGATACAATAGTGTTATCATGGGATCCAGTGACACTAGAAGAAGCTAAAGGATTCTTTGTATACAGTATCAGATTAACTCCTGATGATGGTAGCACTAGCAGTACATTAAGACAAACTAATACAAGGACTATATCAGTAGCTTATGATACCACATCAGTTAATATAACTGATACTGAACCACAGTTAGCTTATACTGTGAATATTAGTATATTGCTATTGAGTGATGTAGGACCAATTGAAGGACCAGTTGTAAGTGAAATTGTACAAGGTTAGTAATGATTACTGTAAAATAATTTACCTTTAACTATGATACAGCGCCTCCATCAAACAGTACTACTAGTGCAAGTGCTACTACTACTACTACTACTAGTACTGATTCTACATCAAGTGTATCAGTGATATCAGCAATAGTTTCAGTTTTGGTTATATTTGTTACTTTAGTGATAATGATTGTTTGCGTGATTTTTACAATAATTTATAGAAAAAAGAGGTATGATGGGGAACTAGTGTATGCATGTATTAACTTATGTTTAATAGTAGTGAAAGTCATGACATTGATGTAACACCTAATGCAGGCTATGGTATGATTAATGTTGTCAATACAACCACAGAGTGAGTAATAATTCTACTTTATCAGTGTTATATAGATCTACTTCTGCTAACAGAAATGAAGATGGAGTTTATGAAAGAATAAGGGATGATCAGGTTTATGAACAATTAGATGAACCTGATCTGCTTGTAGCAAGAGAAAGTGCTGCTGACACAAGTAGCACAATATATAAAAATACTACTGTGTCTGTTGTTAAAGGTATGACTATAATTCTGCTACTTATTAGCGCTACATATCTATTATGCATATAATTTATTATTTTAGCCAGACTAAGTAGCACAACATATGAGAATACTACTGCTCCTCTTGTTAAAGGTAATATTGGTAGTTGCTACATATCTATCATGCATACTTTATTCTGCTAATTAGAGTCTACTAGCTTTCATGAAACAGAAAATGAAGAATGTGTGTATGAACTAACTGATACCTCATAGTAACTTTTTTTTGGTGTGCATTTACCAAGCAAATTTTATAAATGTGCTGCATAATAAATCTTCATACATTATAACAGTTCAGTTTGATTTATAGATCTAATAGTAATTTTCACTTACACTGGTGAAGCTATAGCCTGCATGACCAATCACACAGACCCATTGAAATAACTTACAACCACTTGTGTTATAGTTCTTTTATAGACACTAGATTTGATGTATGTAAAAATCTGTTGCGCATAAGTTGCCTTGCCAGAAATTGATACTTTGATAGTTTACTGTAACTAAACAGTTTACTGGATGTTGTAGACAAAAGATAAACAAAATTCAATAACAGCATAATAATTGAATTTATGTAATAAAGCTCCAGTCAAGATTGTTGAGTTTATCTGGTCCTACACTCAATAGAAAATAAGAAGTGATAGGTGTGGTTGCAGCAGTAACAATATGAGATAGGTCATCATTAAGATGTGGTAAGCTCAGTTGACTTAATATGATTTTTTTCCATATTGAGAGGAAAAGGTTTGTACTAGCAAAAAAAGTGACTGTGACAGTGTCTCTACCTTGTTGAGCAAAGCCATTGCTATCTTTTTTGACAGCACAGCTGAAGAAAAAAATCTAAAAATAACACAACCCACATTTGGATCCACAACAAATTAGATGTGGGCAGTTGCTTGAAAAGCTATTATAACTATTAAGTTGATTATCTTTCTTATTTTTTGGAACGGCACCAAGTAAGATTAATACATGCACCATGCAGTTTTATCATTGTACCCTTCTTTGTCCCTCATTCTATTTTTGCTATTTTCCTCTCTCCAATCCTTGATGGTAATAATACTAGGACACGTGTACTTGCTATTGTTATTCCAACAGTCATTATTCTTGTTGTATGTAATGTGGTATCAATTGTAAAAGTAAAAGAGTTTATGATAGACATTAATTGAGAAACAAAAGGGTTATAGAGGTTAGATCTATATCCCAGTATGTGTGCATATTTATCCATACATTGTCATTTGTATTAAAATATTGTTCTTTCCTCATTGTTGACATATGTAGATCTGGTGGCCCTAAGTCAGCCAGTGCATGGCATGAAGAAATGGTTTGACATGTGTACAGTACTGATGGTCCTACTAATGGAGGTGATGACGATACAGAATCAGGTGGAGAGCCTGGTGGTTCATAGTATTCTAATTAAAGAGATACAATGTGACCAGTAAATAAAGTAAATTAATGCTTTTATAAACTTTGTAAGTTAATAATGTCCTGTTTATCACTGTTCTTGTTTTTATTGTTTCCTAAAAATTTTGTATGTTTTGCTGCATTATACTCCACACTGAAAGAAGGTGGGTGAGAGTGTCTAAGCGTAAGTTTATAATTACTGAAGATTGTGTTGATTTTTAAAATGGTTAATGTAGTGTTGTTGTATTTGTTCACAATGTCAACATGCGTAGGAGTGGAGCAAAGTTAAAGTGTCACTTTGTCTGTGTGCATGTCTGCTTGAGCTCTGCCTTTGAGCTATGTAACTGCATTCTTGTAAATTACTGCAAGGTAGGTTTCACTGAAGTATAAAAATTTTACATCTGAAGTTTAATGTTCTATTTAGGTTCTATTTCCCTTATACAATGTACATCTTACCTCAGCTATGCTGTGATACACTGATAATGGAAGAATGTTGACATAATGACTGACCACTGTTTTTCTTTACCTTATATGTGTAACACACACACTTCAAGTTTATGTAGCACTATTAATTAAGACAAGGAAAAGTGTTAACATGACTATGAAGTCTAAGCTACATTTATTATACTAACCATTGTGCCAATAAATCATAAAGTACAACAGAAGATCAATATGAGGGCTTGAAGTTATGTCATAGTGTATTCAACCACATAGCCCATCTACATTATGCATATATACATTGTAGTTATATAGTCATGTATGGTGTAACTCTACTTATAAAAATACATATGAGTTAGAAAAGCATAGCACTACAATGAACATTAGTCTACACAATTGCTTTATCAGTTGGTATTAATATTCAATGTCTCATGTCAGTTATGCTAAGAAGCAGTGATAATGCAACTATGTTGACATATTGCTAATGATTGTTATTGTTTTACATTTACAATATACTTTTATAGAGCTACAATTTTTCTTCTTTCATCACTAAACATGATGTCCTTGCTGTTTCTTTTATCATTGGTACTTCATGTATCATGTCAAGAGTTTAGTTCATTTACTCCTTGTCCAACACCTGGTCAGTATTATATTTTCATAACAATTAACATGTAACCTATGTATGTTTTATTCATTGTTTTCCATAGTACCAACTCCTTCAGTTATTGTTGAGTATAATGCTACTGGACAATTAGTAGATGGAGAACTAGCAGAAGGACAGTTTCTTGATATTATGTGTATAGCTGACATCAGTCAATATATTGATACTGGTGTTAGTGTTACTTTGACTTGGAGGAGAAATAACACTGTACTGACCAATGGAAGTGATTTTACTATCAGTCCTCCAGTTATGACTAATAATCAGTACACTGGTGTGTTACGTATTAATAGTTTAAGAGATGAACTTGATAATGGTGCTACTTATAATTGTTTAGTTAGTGTGACTCCTAATACTCCTATCATAATAGCAGGGAATGATAATAGCAGTGCAGTTACATTAACTGTAGCAAGTAAGTGAACTTATTCGTATTTTATCTCATTTGCCATTACATTTTCATAGGGTTTGATATCAATCATGTTGATATAAGTATCAATATTTCTTCTGTTCCTGTTGCTGGTGATGTATTCAATTTATCTTGTGTTATAGTTGTACCTCCTAATTTTGTTGAGGATCTTACTACCGTCAGATGGACTTATAATTTAGAGGTGTCTCAATTTGTGACTAGTGAAAACAATGATGCTACACTAGTACCTGTTGTTCGAAATGGAAGTATATTCACCAGTGTACTTACACTTGATCCAGTGAAGGCAACTGATGCTAGACAATATTACTGTCAAGCAACAATTCTAGTATTTGGTACCGTAGATCGTACTAACAGGGATTTAACTGTTCAAAGTTAGTTTTAATTATTACTTGATAATTTAAAGCATATTTTCTTTTATAGTATTTCCTCCCAGTGTATCAATAGTTGCTGATCCTCCAACTGGTCCAATATATGAGAGTACAGGTTACTTACTAACCTGTACAGCTACAGTAAACACTACAATAGTGGATACACCAGTAACTGCTAGTGTAGTATGGACTGATCCTAGTGGTAATGTAATACCAACTAATGAAACAAGGCGTCAAGTGATACCTCCAACTGGTAACAGTCTTGTAAGCATGCTATTGTTTCTACCTATTGATACTGGTCTTAATAATGATGGAGGAACATATACCTGTCAAATGATCATCAATTCTGGTAGCTCATTACTAGCATCAAGTCAAGCTACTAATACTACCCTTGATGTTACAGTTGAAAGTAAATTATTATATACTGCTCCTCTATTGCCTATAATTCTCTCCTCTCAATCTCTTTTGCATGTATGTTATTTTTTATCCTCTGTCTCTACACAAATACACACATTTTCTTCTTCCTTATTCTGTCTTTCACTATAGGTCTTCCTCCAATGACAGTAGATTTTTCATCAGATGGTTCAGTTGAAGTTGGTCAAAGTCTAACTATAACATGTACCATAATAACAGTTGAGAGATTAGTAGTAACACCATTAATTTCTTTCTTTAAATTGAATAATACAGATATAGATGTGCTCTCAAATTTAAATAGACCATACAGTATCACAATAGATGAAACTGGTTCAGTTACTAACTATACTCTAATACTGGATCCAGTGAGGTTTGAAGATGCTGGAATGCATACGTGTATGGCTGAGTTTAATGTAACTGGTTTTAATA